TATCTGGAACCTAATATGGCTTTAATGTCATGTAACTTTAATTCATGTATGACTAAAGTGAATGGGTTTAAAAGTAAGGATTTTAACTCATACAGAAGCAATACTCTTACATCCAGAAATACAGGAGCAGAAACAGAAACACAGGTTTTTGGAACATTTGTATGATCATTCGGAATCTCAGACATGTGATTCTAACTATACTTTATGCAGATGACATAATGCTTTATATACATTCCTGCAGTTACTAGCACATAACCACTAGGATATGAAAGTTGTGGTGTATTAAAGGAGTCATAGAACGATTATATATGGTATTTGGTGCTTAAGGTCTCAGAATAGGGTGTGTAACATTGGTTGGACTGAAAATGGCATATTTGCTGTTCTATGAGCCCTGATGAGAGCCTGGTTACAAGCCCTAGAATGAAATGAAAAGTTTTCTTCCTTTTATGGTATGCTACTGAATATTTAAATGATTCGTGCGCTGATTGGTTGGTTTATAATGAGTGAAGCTGCTGAGCAAAGATGCATCATAGCAACAAGCACTCACTCACTGGAACATCAAAATTGTTGATATGGTGGGGTGAACAGACGTCCTCTTTTTCCCGGACATGTCCTACTTTTCAATGCCGCAAAAAAAATGTCTGGGGGGAATTTCAAAATCTTTGTTCGACTACAGTGCAACACAGCCGAAACACACCGGGCAACAGCACCCCCCACAAAACAAATAGTGTCCTCCTTTTCAGAAACCCAAATATGGTCACCATAGATATGCTAGCATTGCTATCAACAGCGTAGAGACAGAATGATACTTACAGCTTGCAGTTGATGGATTCGCCCATTTTTTGGTGGAAGTTTAGAATTGTAAGATTTGCAGAGAAAGGAGGTGTCGATGGTTTTTGAACTCCTCTGAACGTCCATTTCACCCACTGAACTATTGTTATTCATCTATGACAAGGTAAACTCTGTTTTGCGTGCTATGACCCCTTTAAGGATTTTCATTTTATTGGTTAAGATGTGTAAGTTTCTACAGGACTTTCAAACACTCATAATAAAAATAATAAGTTGTTGATGATAATCACGCATTAACCTATTCAAGATGTGGTCTCGTATAAAAGCCAATATGAGGTTTGGTTGGTTCTCTTGGTGCATGCAGCACTTGCTGTACAGATGCAAGACAGCTTAACTGCTGTCAGTCCCAGTGGTACAGCTCCTCACGTTTCTCACATTGCTCCTTCTTGTAAAAGCATAGCGTGACAGTTTGGATGGAGATTAAGATTAGGCTATTAACTCGTTAGAGCTAATGTTTCCATCTACTCACCTCAGAGACCTAGTAACTTCTTACTAACTGTACACGACCTGATTCTCGTCTTCGACACGCTATATCTTAGTCAGGCTCGTTGCAGCAAGGCAGGCAAATCAAGCAATTGCCTGGGGCCCTGACACAATGGCTGGCTTGGTTATGAACTGAAACCAACAACAACAGCAAAGTATAATATTTTATTTCTCCCTCAAGGAGCTTTGCTCAATTCCTCCTCCTAATGATATCTCCTCTGGTAAGGATTATATTAAAGTTTATACATATAATTTTCAGTACATTTTGTATTTTTTAATAAGGGCCCTCAAGTCAATTTAGCTTTGGGCCTGAAAGTTCCTTGAATCATTCCCTGAGCAAGAAAAGACTAGTGAAATAAAATTGCATAATTTCCCTTTAAAAAATGCACAGTATACTGTCTATTCAGGAATACTGTAAGTAGGTTACTTTTTTGCAAGGCTGGTGAATAATGTGGAAACGTCTATCCCATCTTTGTCCTATTAGCTTTTTCCATGCTCGTATTTTTAAGGCAAGCGTGTCATTAGTTTACTGTGCTAGTGAGCCTTTTTGGAGATGCATGCCTTCTGATGCCCATGTTAGTTATAGACTGTGACATGAGAAATAAAGGCTAAACACCCATATGGCAAACATGTGTGTCTGCAGCGCCTATAGACACAGCTCTGCTTAGGTTATGTTGCCGTGATTGGTTTTGCACACATTTCCTAATATTTACTTACACCCATAAAAATCTAAACGCAGGACAGCAGCGCTGACACAATGACAGAAAAAAGAAAACATTTGGCAGACTCTGGCTTATTTGAGCTTTTTGACATGTTCCTTTTTTTTATGTGACAATGTGTTTTAATATTTTTCCCTCCACTGGTTCCACAGTGTCTGAGATTGCTGAGGCTGTCAGCATTGCAGACGGAGCGACGGTGAGTAACCACCACATGGTTAGTCTGCAGATGGTCCAGCTGTGTAAAGCTTTCGCAAACTTGATAAATCACTCACACTTAAAGTTGCTGACCTTTGCAGCAGGACTGATGTTGCAATAACCTGTAAATGGCTTGAGATGTTATCCAGACTTGACCAGTGGAGCTCACCGGGATGAAGTGAAGCTTTGAGGATTAGATTGGCTCTTGCCATAGTAATCCACTACTATTCTCGGAGGGAAACAACAGTGCACCACATCACGATAAAGTCAAGGAATGAATAGCGCCTAAAATCGTTCACGATCAGACAGGCTTTTTGATGCAGACCGACACTTTATTTGAATGAAATTTCACCATAATTCACCAAAGTTTTTTTTTTTTTTTTTTTTTTTACAATATTTCAAATACTGTTAGAACATAGAGCTTTTAACTGCACTATAAAAATAGTCTCTAGATTAAATATACATTACATTAATTTTTTCCATATCAAACATTTTATTGATAAAATTGCAAGCTCTCTCTGTGTCATTTTGTGTTGTATTTTACATGTTTTTAACAAGAGCAACACCAAGCAAGTGAGATTTGTGTAGGAACTTTAAGCATTACCAGTTCAACCCCAATGAGGACATATTTCAAAATGGGGCCTGATGTTTGGTTAGCCATGTTTAAACCTAATGCTTAAAACTACTTCTGTAGAAGTAGGTGTTGTTTAAAACTAATGAAAAATATATCTTAAAGTTTTTATTACGGTATACCAATATTTAAAAAGATCAAATGTTAAAAATCAAAGCGTTTGAAGCCGTTTAAAATGAAACACATGCATGTTTTATGTGCTCTGAATGTGTGAACAGATCCTGTTCTTTACTATGAGTCGCACCTCGCTAATCCAATACCACTAACAGGATTGAAGTTGTGATTTCTCAGTGACGCGTGGCAGACGAGCTAGCTCTGGCCGTCAGAGCTGCCTACAAATCTGTCATTAGACCTATTTAAGCTTCAGATGAATAAAATGTTTGCCATAGAGTATCAGTTTCCTGAGTGTTTTAAACTATGGTATATTAGGACATTTTGACCATGCCGGTAAATAAAGTGTGTGCAACATTTTTGTGTTTAGATATAAAATAAAGTGGTGTAGTTGCACATTTTAATAAACTTTTCCAATCCATTTAAAGATAACTGGATAAATGTTAGCTTTTCTTCAAGAAAAAAGTATTTATAGCCATCAGATGATGTTGGTGTAGAAGAAATAGTTAAGCACCTAATTAATCCATCAAAATTAATTTTAATATTTGCATGTAATATTGTAAAAGCCGCCGTCTCTTAAAAGAGTACCATGGGACAGAAGTGGTGGGATTACAAGATTGGTGATCGGGATATCAAGCAGTAGCCAGTGCATCCAGTAGTCATTTAAAGCAGTGAGTAAACATAAAAACAGAGGCTAGAAAAAGGATAAGTTTCATTTTGTCCAACACCTGACACATAATGCAGCATTAGGGTATTGGGGTATCAGCATTTGAGCTCCTGAAATGAAACCCTGAAAAGTGATATGCATTTATATTTTGCCACCTTTTTTTTTAATATCTTTTAACAAAATATTGTGAAATCACTTTCTTTCAGACATCACCTAAAAGCTCAATAGAGTCCATCCATGTTTTTTATATATATTGTACAGTATAAATTCAGTTGTTCTCTAAAAGACTTAAGGATTTATGAGCAGAATATTGGAGAACATCTAATTTTAGAGCATCATGAGGACCAAGAAGCCCAGCAGCCACATGATGGATAAAGCTTAACCCTTTAACTGCCTGGTCAACCTCCAACCTGCATTCCACTGAGCAAATGGTCAACATTAGGTGGATCAGATGGTTAATGGGTTAAAACGGTTAAAGGTGGGTTGGGTTCTGAATAAGAATTTTAAAGAGCTTTGCTTAATGTATCACATAAAAGTAGAAAAACGGGCAAACCTATCAAAAAAGGTAATCGGTCTATGCTGACAAGTTGGTCAAGCAGAGCATTAAACAGAACTTTGGAACTTATTTTTGTATTAGAGCAGTCCAGATGTAATCTGAAAACAGTTTATTATATTAGATAGTATCTTCTAATATCTAACATTTAATAAGCTTCATTTTGATGCCAAAGCTAGACACTGAACTCATCAAGCTCATGGTGTCTATATTAATAATTTATTTTAATCAACTTTCCAAGAGAAACAGGCAGTTGACAATCTTTTATTAAATGTCTCATCAACATAACGCTATATAACAAAGTTAAAGGTATGTGTTAAAGGCTTATGTGTTTTGCAATTAGTCTGCAGTATTGTCTTGCTTCAGCTTTTCTATTTGTGGATGGATTTAGCAGTTTGCCGATGAGAATAGGTCTAGTAAAAGAAAAACAACAAGGGATCCGATCGGATTACCTCCACATCCAACTTCATTTTGTCTGAAGTACTTTTCCAATCCAATCTGAGCTTCTGTCTGCAGGATGGGTGCATACGCACCCTTCTGTTTAGGTAACAAAGCCTATTTGTGCTGCAGGATATTGGTGCTGTAGACCTATCAGATGTCTTGACACCGGATGACCCGTCTGGAGATCAAAACCTCCCGCCAGCTTCAGAAAACAACACTCTGGCAACAGGGGATGGCATTATAATTTTGGAGGAGAGTGGACTTGTGTCCCCAGAGGCGGTGCTCACTACCGATCCACCTGAAGGTGGTAGTAAGTCTTGGTGATCAACTTGATCTTTCCTTGTGCTATGAAATAAACACAAATTGTTGTTGCAAAAGACTTTCAAGAGATTCAGATTATTTTAATCTTTGTTTAACTAGGCATTGAAGATGAGAATTTGTTGCCAGAGGATATCGTGCTGCCTCCTTCTACAGTGGCCATCCAACCAGAAGAGCTCCTACCTGAACCTCCCTCCTCTGAGCTACCAAAGAGCATCACACTGCCTGAACCACCAGTGGAAACTGAGGCCTCTGGATCAGGCAGAGAAAATCTCTATGATCCAACCACTGAAGAGGACCAAATTTCCCTTGTAGAGAACAAAGATGCCAAATCAGGAGATGAATCAGGGAGAGATGATCAAGCTTCAGCTGAAGAGGAATCAGTTGCCACAATGTTTGAAGAGGAGCCCCAGGTCAAGGTTGGGATCTCGGAGGACCTTGAGATCTCTACCGTTTTGACAACAACAGATATAGAAACAGGCCAGCCGGCTCTTCTACCACCTACAGAGACTCTGATTATACCAAGTGAGGTTTTAGAGCCTGATGTTCCCACAACTATTCTGAACTCTGATGTTGAGGTACCAGTGGATGGAGAACCACAGGACTCTAACCCCAGGGATAAAGACCCTGGGGAAGTTTTCAGGGTCAATGTGGTATTAACCTCTTCTGAGGAACCTGCATTTGACGAGAAAGGCTTTGACAGGACAATAGAAAGTGATGGAAGTGAAGTGAAAGAGGGATCTTTGTCTGAAGCCATGGGTATAGACGAGGGGACACCTTTAAAGCCAGAGATCTTAGCAGGAGATCTTGTTGAAGATGAGATATTACTGGTCAACAAAGATGATCCAAAGTTACCTGCAACAGACTTTCCACGTTACACCCTCCCAACTGCCCTGTCCCCAGAGAAGAACTCCCCTTTCACAATAGTCTCTTCCATTATCCCGGATACTGATGGCCCAACTGACACAGTGATTACTTCATCAGTGAAGGTAAAGCTCATGTAAACCTCTTGAATGTTGTTACTTGAAGACGTAGAATAGGATTTTTCTCTGTCTCTCTTAAGCTAGTTTGAAGAACATTATAGTGCATATTTGCAAGTCCTCAAAAGTCTACACTCGAATCAAGCATGCCATTATGACCACAAGACACATAGTTTGGCAATCCACCTTTTTCTAGCCGATATAGACTTCAGTAAATCCCTGAAGTTTTCTATTGCCTGGCACAAACACATTTACAGCAGATCCTTTAACCCCTATAAATTGCGATATGGGGGATACACAGGTCTGGCTTGCTTAATACATGTCATACATGTCATGTATAGATGTATAGACAGATGTATACACATGTCATAGATGTTTAATTGAACAAAGATAAATTAACAATTATAAATTTTTTCTTCCTCCTCTTGCACCATTTTAAAGACAAAATCTTCACCGCTACCATTGCATATCTCAACCACTCACAGTTGCCATAATAAGTAGTTAATCAGTATTATTTATTTAAACAGCCTCAAACTCATTTGTATGCTGGGCCCCTGTGGCATCAAGTCTTTACAAGGGCTGGTTGCAGCTGTGTCCATTAAACTTCTGATTTCATCATATCATTTGCAAAGAGCACATTGATCGTTTATTGTAAATCTACTCCCATGTATTTGGGATTCTACCTTCTTTGTACTTTTTAAAAGATATGCCTCTACTTTAGAATATATTATGACTTTTTTTCTTCTGAGGGCTGGATATGGCCTGGCCTTGAATTTGACTCATGTAGCAAAATATCTGTGATGCCGCCAATAGTCCCTCCTCAAGGAACTTACATTTGGCCCTTTATTTTACGTTATTACATCATGTTCTATTCACCCATATGAGTTTTGTGTCATTTGGAGCTGTTCTAAAGATATTCCGTTAGGTTATATCCAAGTAACATCTTCCTATGGGCAATGAGTTTTAGGCACAAACTAAACTGTTCATAATGTATTCTTTATGGTACGCCAGAATTCAGAACATGTAGGCGAATCACTGTCCCCCAGACATCTGCGGTTATATTTTTTATATTTATATTTTTTAAAAACAAAGCGGTGCGTGTATGACGTCTTCTGTGCGAGCCGGCTACCATTCATTCATCCAGTCCGCTCAACTGCTGCTAGTTTTACTCACATGCCTTGAGGATATCTAGGGCTACTACCACAGACGGTTGCCTGTCACAACTCCAGTCCGGCGCGTGGATGACGTCATACACACTCTGCTTTGTTTGTTTTTTTGCTTTTGTTATAAATATATGTTATTAATTACCAGCCTCATATTTGAGACATTTTCTATATGTTTAATCTAGACCACTGAAGAGGACCTGGGGGATGTCACTGTTGGAGATCACAGATATGAAGTGATTCCTTATGATTATGGTTTGACAAATCAGACAGAGGAGGGCAGCACCGGATCCCCATTCAGTGTGGCCCATGGCACAGAGCAAGCCAGCATTGCCATGCCTACAAGCCCTAGAAGAGCTCTGATAGTCTTCTTCAGCCTGAGGGTGACCAACATGGTTTTCTCTGAAGATCTTTTTAACAAGAGCTCTCCAGAGTACAAGGCTTTGGAGCAACGATTCCTAGAACTGGTAAACACCTACACTGCATTGCATTATTTTTAGTAAGGCCCAACACAAACATGCAGCATACAAAAATAAGATTTTTCTATTTCTTCCAAGCTTGTGCCCTACCTTCAGTCCAACCTGAGTCACTTTGAGAACCTGGAGATCCTAAACTTCAGAAACGGAAGTATCGTTGTTAACAGCCGGATGAAGTTTGTAAAGCCTGTGGCCCGTGGCGTCACCTCTACTGTGTATCTCATCCTTGAGGACTTCTGTAACACGGCTTATCAGACCATGAATCTAGCAATTGATAAATACTCTCTGGATGTGGAGTCAGGTGAGTTTCAGCTGGTACATCTTTTGCTCTAATCACGTGTTTTGCCAAGAGTGAACTCAGTGCTTACACAGGAAAACCCTGGTAAAGTAAACTATTCTTAATGCAAACAGTTTACTAGCAATAACTGGATGATAGGTGTCTATTTTCCTTATTTTATGCTAAGCAATTACGCATAACATGCAATTCTCAGGTTTTCCAATCGAAAGTAAATAAACTCTTCATTTTGCTGAATAGGTTTAAGAAATATTCATAAAAAAGTAATCAATGAAAAAACTTATTTCAGTGGAAAACAAAAAAAAAAATACTAAATCACATCATGCATACAAAAATATAGCCTGTCTGGATGGAAAATATCCTGTTTTTATGTGATGAAAATGATTATATATTGAATATATATTGAAAATATCTAGTTTAGAATTTAGCAAATGTGCCTCCACAGACATTTTTTGTTTTGCAAGAGAAAACAAATATGGTTTTGAAGACTAGAACAGATCTGAGTATTCCTGTTACAATCAAAGTAGAAGACCAATAAACAGATTTTGTTAATGTAAGCCAAAAGGATTCCATTAAAAATATCTCTATAAATCTCCATACATTAACAAGTGTAGAGAAAGTTGTTTAAAGAATGTCCAATCTGTCCCATCTTTTTGTGCCATTGCATAAAAATGTCCCTCTGAATCTTTGTTATTTAAATAAGATAAGATCTCACAGTGGAGAAATTCATTGGTCACATCGGCTCAACAGTCAAAAGAAGGTGCCAAAAGGAGGAAAAGGTGCATATATAACAGGATACATATATATATACATATTTAACAGGATTATTTCACAGGTTATTGCAAAGGGTATTACAAAAAGTCTGTAACAAAGTCTGACATATTTCACTAACTAGCAACATGAAAGATATAACAAAACGTTTTTCATCTTCTTTTTCCCATAAAATAAGCAGCTAAACGAGAAAATGAATCGGTGCCTGATTTTTTTTTCTAATTTTCTTTCATTTCCAGGGGACCAAGCAGACCCCTGCAAGTTTCAGGCGTGCAACGAGTATGCAGAATGTAAAGTGAACAGGTGGTCGGGTGAAGCGGAGTGTGTTTGTAATGCAGGCTACTTTAGCGTTGACGGCCTGCCTTGTCAGAGCATCTGTGAACTGCAGGGAGACTTTTGCCTCAATGACGGCAAGTGTGACATCATCCCTGGCCAGGGAGCCATCTGCAGGTGAGCAGGGGATTAGGATTGTGTGGGTGTTTGTGCGTGTAGGAAACAAGTCTGTGGTTTTAAGCAGAGACTAAGCACATTTTACATGTTTGTACAGTTTAAGAAAAAGAATCTGTAGTTTAATTATTATCATTTAGTTTCTTTTTTTAGAGTTTTCATTCTATTTTGGTATTGTTTGCCAAAATTAAGGTTTTTTTTTTTCTCAATGAAGATTTACACCTAATGGGTCAAAACAAGCAAATGAACATATTATTTGGTCCCTAAAGCTTATTTTGAGTAAAAGCACTGCTTTCTAACCTGTTTTGCATTGCTCAAAAAATTACCACCAATTAGAAGAAATGTGTATGAAATTTACTCTCCTATTGATGAGCTCATTAAGTAAAGTTTTTCAGCATTTTGATAAATTATGCATTCTAGGCTTTGCAAGTCACTGTCTTTGTATCCAAAGTCTGTGAGGATTCCAGACCAAAGACAAATTCCTTCTTTGTACAATCTAGTTTGGCCAATAAGCTGATTCTGATTATTATAAGATTTCTTTTTTTATAAATCCCGGAACATGCCTGTTAAAATGTTTTCCTGAGAACGCACCCTGTCCTGCCAAATAACTCCAGTTAATCTAGAGTTCCTCACTACAATAGCTTTTTGTTCCTTAGATCTTTTCCAGCTAAGGCTATAAATGTTCTATAAACAGAAGGAAAGTTGAAATGCTTTAAATCCCATTGTAGATGCTGTCAAATTCTCATTCAGTTAAATTTGGTGTGACCCAGAGGAAAAAACAGGTCACAGCTGCAGCTAGTTATCGGTAAATGTAAAGGATGAGCCTTTAATGATGTTTTTCTATCGATCTAAAGGTAATAATGCTGATAAACAGCTATAGTCACCTTGCTTGTCTGGCTGTTGACTCCCTGCTCAAGCTTTTTGAAGAAAACTGGATTTTACTGTAGTTTTTCTTCTTCTCTCATCCCTGGATTGTTTCTTCCTCTAAATTCATGATTCTTGTTTCACATTCTTAAATTAGTATTTTACTGTTTTTTTCTGAAATTGTATTCAAATCCATTCATTCAAATGTTTAAATCTAAAGATTCAGTAGATATGCAGGTGATTACTCCATTAAGACGAAACATTTTTCCAACAGAGAGGTAGTTTTTGGTGGATGAGGAGAAGTCTCTCATCTTTACTCCCATTTTCTTCCATGGAGCTAATCCCTGTTTCCACAAAGATGATCCTTGTAGCAAAAGTCCACACTATTACTTTGCCCATAAGTAAGCCACACATCACACTTTTCCTTCAAAAATGGCAAACTATCTGTCATTACTTTCAAAATGTACACACAGAGATGTTTTCATATTTCAAAGCTTTTTCACCTTAAAATGAAAAAGCATTTCTGAATGTGGCTGCATTGTTTGACTCATAAATGAAATTAGTAATCAATAATCCTGTTTGCATTTTCATTTTCTTCTTTAACACTGCTCATCCTTTTACTTGATTAAAATGAAAAAGACATTTGAGATTTATTTTTCAAAATGTACCCCAGCAAATACATACCAAAATTCAATTTGAAATGTAAAATTTGAAAATGAAAAAGCATTTCCAGAAATACTTTTTTTGCCGGGTCTGACTATCGGGACATACTGTATCAGACCCGGATATGCTATTGGATTCTACCTGCTCAGCCATTTCTAAAAATTTTTGTGCAAAAAAATTTGCTGGCAGACCGCGAAAACGAAAAAGCAATGTCCGCTGTGTTTTCTCTATGATTATGATATAAAATGTGCAGTCTTAAAGAAGAAAATGCAAATAGGATGATTGATTACTAATTTCATTTATGAGTCAAATAATGCAGCCACATTCTTAAAATGAAAAACAATTTCTGGAAATGTTTTTTCATTTTCAAATTTTACATTTCAAATTGAATTTTGATATGTATTTGCTGGGGTACATTTTAAAAAATAAATCTCAAATCTCTTTTTCTTTTTCATTTTAATTAAGTAAAAGGATGACCAGTGGTAAAAAAAGAAAATGAAAATGCAAACAGGATTATTGATTACTAATTTAACTTATAAGTCAAACAATGCAGCCACATTCTCAAAATGAAAAAGCATTTCTGAAAATGCTTTTTCATTTGAAATATGGTAACGATTTGCTTCCATAGTGTATTGGCTCATCTACAGATTAGTTTTGCCGTCCTGTTTAAGAGCATATGGTTCAAGATGCTTGTTGTATTTTAGAGAATAAAAATGACAAAAAGGTTGGTTATGTTACATTATATTATTTCAAGAGTTTTAGAACATCCTCCTCTAAGGTTTCCCACAGATTTTAACTTTTTTAATGTGTTTTCTGTTATCAGCAGATTTGTGTGAATGTTCAGAAAAAACAAAAACCTAAAAAATGAAAAGCCAAGGTTTGCAGATAAGTGACAGAAATATTTTGACTTTGGTTGGACTTAAAAAGCCCAGGCTTTTTTCTAATCTTGTAATTATAAGCAGACGTAGGGAAGATGAGCCAAAACGACTGCTAACCTCAGTTTCACACCCACATCATCACAGCGCCTGTCGGCAGGGCCACGTGCTGCTGGATTCTCATTTACCTCCAGCTAAAAGTATTGCATTCCTCCATGGAGACGGGAACAAAACAAGAGATTTTCTTCCATAACAAGGAATCAGTGATTTTATGACGCATGCAGAATCAAACCGAACTGATGAGCTTTGTCAGAACAAAAATGCAAACATGACAATTATTTTTCATGATTTCATTATTCATCATCTGATGGTTCCATTGCCTAAATGTTATTTTTCTAGCACTGATAAACCTGCACCAAGAATAATTCTGTTGTTCGTTTCATAGTTTTGTGAAAACTAATTTTTTGACCCCAGATGTCGTGTTGGAGAGAACTGGTGGTACAGAGGAGAACACTGCGAGGAATACGTGTCTGAGCCACTGGTAGTTGGCATAGCCATTGCCTCTGTTGCTGGTTTTCTGTTTGTGGCATCTGGGGTGCTGTTCTTCCTGGCCAGAACTCTACGGGATCAGTATGACAAGGAGGAGTCAGAGGATCCCATACGGTGAGAACCCAAATACCACCCATCTGACCACATCATTCATTACTGAATGAGCTTTAATGATAAGTTTGTAAGAATGTTTCATTAAATAACATGGTCTGGATGTAGGCTTGTGTTCCTCTAGTGCATACAGTAATAAACTCACCATGAAGAAAACTTTTTAAAAGTAACCATGCCTACTGCTGGAATGTGTTTCAGAGCGATTAGGGCTTTAAAAAGTTACAGTCACGCTATATTGGTTTTAGATTTTTTCTTTGAGTGCTGGGATCTCTCTGAAACAGTAAGTTCAATAAGATCCCTGAATCCCTAAGCGCAATACTTCTGATTCTACATCTGCTTCTCTTCAGACTTTTTTTCTACAGTCTCTAATAATTTGATAACAAAAACAAAAACTTAAAGGTGTGCTAAATGCTTTGATTTTATCTGATCTGACATGAAGGTAATTAATTTTGCATTCCATTTTGGACCTTTGTCTTCACTACTAGCTT